TGAAGCAAAAGCCAACGAGATGGAGACCAGTACGGAAGAAGATACGTCCCGTAAAATTAAGAGACTTTGTTGAATTGTAATTTTGTGTTTGTAATTCTGTACATTTAATTAAGTTATTGTTAATTGTTATTGGTTTATTGTAAGTGGCTATTGACGAACAATACTAAGGAGGGGGCAGTGTTGCGTCAGCGAGGTCACGTGACTAGTATCACGCCACCCGTTTTCTAGAAATATCCTGTTCCTTCAAGACTGCCCTTGCATTCACTAGATGTGTGTTAGTCTTGTATATATATAAGATGGTCACAACGTGACGGGACAACAGTGTAGTGAGTAATTGAATTGCAGTCAGAGAGTTTGTAATTGAACTCGAGCACGTGAGACGTTCGTTGAGAATTATAGCACGACTGTTGAAATTAAGTGTATCGTAAAGTTGCATTCGGAAAGAATAAACCAGTTTTATTTAAGAAAGGACTTGTGTCGCTAAAGTTTAGTCGGAAAGAATTTACGGAAAAATTAACTAACGACTGGAGGCGTAACACTATCGGTAGTACTTAATAATAGGGATCGTGGTGAAATACAATGGCAGCCATAAAAAATCGCCGATTTAAAATCACCTTTAAAATGTCTAAATATTATCAATGACTAATACACTGTATTGGCTGAGCAAAATTAAAGCTTATTGTACTTATGAAGCCGCCTAAATCGCAATATACATGTTTATGGAGTGAATAAAAATTTCCCTATTTCAACGAATTTTCAACTAAGTAAGTAAGTAAGTGACTTTTTCAGACAAGCAGACAGAAAAATGTAACAAACCTTATCGCTCTAATTCTTTCACAGAAGTATTCCGTTTGAGGTACCAATGATTCCTTTTTATACCGAAAAGTATACTACTATATGTATATATATATATATTTGTTTGTTTGTTTTTGAAGTTAAGCACAAAGCTACACAACGGGCTATCTGTGCTCTGCCCACCACGGGTATCGAAACCCGGTTTCTAGTGTTGTAAGTCCGCAAACATATTTATATATATAACAGACGATGAGTTACTTTGGACATATAATCAGATTTGATAGTAAGGTGGTAGAGATCCTGATAAATAATAGAATCGAATCGGATATACTCGTGCATAACGCTTGGTTTTAGTGGCACACAAAAATATAGCTAATAAAAAGGAAATAAACAAGTATAATTTAAAAAATATATATATAAAGACAAGTACGGGTATATATGTACATAACCTAGCTATAGTAATAGAGAACGTTTTAATGCTATAAAAAGTATTGAAAGAAAAAAGTAAAAACTACAAAACTGAGTTACTTAAAATTTAAAAAATTGTATCTCTACTTTGACTCAGATTAACATAATTACAGTGATTTGCCAAAGTAAGGATATATATATATATTACTTTTTTATTTCAATACTTTTTGAAGCATTAAAACTTCCTATATTATTGTAGCTAGCTAGGTTACGTATATATCGATCTATACTTGTCCTTATAAGATTAAAACAAATCTACTATAGTTGTATGATAAGTTTCAGTGTCTCTGTGTGTGTCACGTAACTCCTACTAAGCCGCTCGTCGCACCGACTTCTGAATGGTACCAAACGTGTCGGTCCCAAGGTTCGCACAAGGTTAAATTTTCACCTGACCCCTTGGGGAACTCGGAGATTTCACGAAAACCTCTTCTCCTGAACTGCTGGACTCACCGACTTTTCAATGGTGCCAAACGAATCGTCTCGGCCCCGAGGTTTTCACAAAGGTAAAACTTTTCACACTATCCATTAGGGAGACCGGGTATTTCGCGAAAATACTTTTACAGGGAATCTCCGAAAGCGAACCCCAAATTTGGCATTCATTTACATTAGACAATTAAATAAGTAGGCCTACTAATTACCGTTCGAACTTGGTTGAATAAATTAAATACGCAATATAGTGACAATGATCATTAAACTAAAAAAGTGCAAAATAGTATTTCAAGCATTAAATTTGCATTATAGCGGTCCTGTAAATGTGGGCCATGGGCCCATTGGTTCGCTAATATTGTAATGATATATAGCATCTGGGTTAACTACATTGGCATTATAATGTCCTATACTGGCCGATTATGACGTTGACCAAATGTAACAGCGGATCAATGCTGTGAGAGAATAAAGGTCACGAGGTGACGCTGTCAGCTAGACAAATAAAACGAGTTTACCTGTTATTTAATCGTAGTGTATTTAACTATTTTGATTAAGGGCAAGAGTTTACCTATTGAATTCAGGTGTGCATTCTTTAGTCAATTTCTACTAGGAGATCTTCATGTGAAAACTTTTATCAATAGTGTCGTGTTTAAAAAAAAAAAAGGTGTAGAACTACATACAGCTCAGTAGAATAGACTGTCATTGTATCTGCATAGTGCGGTAGTTTCTTTATTATAATAAATATTTTGTTCATTTGTTCAAATTTGTGTAGATTGGTTATTTTACACTTGAAGAAACTCAGTCAAATTATCAACTGCGGAACAATCCCTCTATTTTTTGATCGAATCTGATGTTATTTGCAGGTTTGCCTATTTGATACTTGTTGTGAAATCTGTTGTACCTGAAAATACCACACTTAAAGATCAAAGCTTAACATTGAATATAATCCTAGTTGAGATTATTTTCTCTCTCTAAGATTTTGCAGAGGTGATTGTCTATAGAAGATGTGATATCCATAGTTACAATTGTTCAAGTACCATAACGGTGAAGGAGGTTGTTTGATTGTTGTTAAACTAAAAATTACACAATAGGTTATCTGTGCTCTGTCCGCCACGGGTATTGAAATCCGATTTTTAGATCATAAACTTGCAAGGTTACCGATGAGCCACAGCGGGGGTGGGTACAACAAGAGGAACCGAACCTCGTATCCAGACTATATATATATATATATATATATATATACATATACT